TTTTCTGTTGGGACTGACCTCATAATCTTCTCCACTCCCCACTCTGACAAGTACAGGTTAGCTTCACACTGAATCTGAGCATTGGTGATTGGGTCTAGATATTAGCAAAACAATGGCAGAGGTGCACCCATAGATCACTGCTTTTGAAGACATGTTGAAATCATTTGTTTCTCTGCCTTGACACTCTCCAAGCTACAGGTGGTTTCAATTTTCAACTCGTGGCAGAAACCATAAGCCAAGGAAGCAAATTAAGTGTTTCCATAAACTGTAGAAAAGTAGCAGTCTCTGGCTACCTAACTGTGAAATGCCCAACTTGGGACTTCCATTAACTTTTGACCTTCTTTCTTAGAAACCCATAAGGAGAGGATTCAATTTTTCTAAGCTGGCTATCGAAGACTGGGGTAGTTTTAGCAGCAGAGTTAGGGTTCCTCAATATACCAAACTGGATTGGCTTTCAGACCCCTCCCTAATATGTTGTAGAGGCACATGCAAATGGAATTCTAAGGTTTCAATCCAGGTTATTTGCACTGCTGCTTTGGTTTCCCATCATTATCAAGATGGGTCAAATATAAGAGACCACAGCTATGGGTTCTATTCACTCTAGAAATGTGTGTGTTAGCTGAGGACAGCAAAATGTTCTAACACTGTCCAAATTAATATGGGCATTCCCTCTTTAGCATGGGGAATATATTTCTGGAAATGGGAGCACTAACTGTAGAATTCTTTCAGAGATTTGCTCTAGTGTTGCAAGGTGGTGGAGTTCTCTTCATACCCTTTAAAGTTACAAAATGTTTCTACTACTGATTTTTTCTTTTTTGGGGATTTTATTTTATTTTTAAATATTTTATTTATTTATTCATGAGAGACACACACAGAGAGAGAGGCAGAGACACAGGCAGAAGGAGAAGCAGGCTCCATGCAGGGAGCCTGATGTGGGACTCAGTCGCAGGTCTCCAGGATCATGCCCTGGGCTGAAGGCAGACACTAAACAGCTGAACCACCCAGGTCTCCAGGATCATGCCCTGGGCTGAAGGCAGGCACTAAACAGCAGAACCACCCAGGGATCCCCGATTTTATTTATTTAAGAGAGAGAGCATGAACCGGGAGGAGAGGGAGAAGCGACTCTCCGTGGAGCAGGGAGCCCAATGTGGAACTTGATCCCAGGACCCTGGAATCATGAAGGCAGACACTTAACTGACTGAGCCACCCAGGCGCCCCTATACTACTGATTTCTTACAGCAATTAGTCATTCAACAGTTGATCAGTATTCCTGGCTGTTGGCATATTTAGGACTTCTTTAATGATGTCAAAGAGCTTACTCATTCTTTGTCTGTTGATTCTTACCCTTGTTTCCTAAACTCTTTTGTCAAAGGAGCCTCCAGTACCCAAAAGACTTCCATTTTAACATTCAGCACAATGTTCTTCCTTTATTTCTTTGTGGCAGGCAGGGCACCATCACTCACACATTTTGTTAGCCATTATTAGCCAAAACTGTCTCCCAGCAGGACCCCTGGGTTGCTCAGACCTTTGATCAGCGGACTCTTGATTTCACCTCAGGTCATGATCTCAGGGTCCAGGGATCAAGCACTAGTCAAGTGAGGCTACATGCTCAGTGGAGTAGGGGGAGGCCCCACTGCAGGATTCTTCCCCACTGCCCTTCCTCCCTCAAATAAATAAATAAGTCTTTAAAAAAAAAACCCAAAACTATATTCCAGGCACAAATGAAATTAGAGACATAGATCACAGAGAACCAAACAGCACACTACAGAACTCACTCAGTTGAAGTTGTAGCTACACAGTTCCCACCCGGTCCAGGCCACCATCATCTCTCACCTGGATTATTGCAATAGGCTCCTAAGTCATCTTCCTGCATATACTCCTTGCCCCTACAAGCTATTCTGTAAAAGCAGTCAGGGAGTTCCTTTAAAGTTAGTCAGGTCATGTCACTCCTCAAAATCCTCCAATGATTTCATTTCACTAAGAGTAAAACCTGAAACTGGCTTCACTTTCTTCAGGTCTGCGTTCAAATGTCGCCTTAATAATGAAGGCTTTTCCAACTACCCCGCATAAAATAACAACTTTCCCATCCACACCTCTGTACCACACTCCCAATTCCCTCTCTCCTGCCCTTTTCCCCACCCATAGCACCTATCCCATTATCACCTACAATATACTTACTTATATGAAGTGTGGTAGATTCTATTTTCTGAGACGGCCACAAGATTCCCTATGCCACAGATGCTTCTTACAATGTGGTATTTCTACTATTCCTTTGAGAGATGTTTCCCACTGGCCTCAAATGGAGGGCAGCCTGTAAGTGTGGTGGAAATGATGCTTTGTGACCTTTGAGGCTAGGTCACAAAAACCATAAAATCTCTGCCTGGTCCTCTTGAGGACTCAATCTTGGAATTCACCCACGATGATATAAGGAAGCTCAGGCTACATGGAGAGGCCAACAGCCAGCTGTTCTGGCCAACAGCCATCACCAACTTCCAGCTATTTGAAGATGCTTTTGAGAAGATTTCAGCCCCAGCCACTGCATGAGACTTCAAGTGAAAACTGCTTAGTTTAGCCTATCACCTCCCAGAACCATAAGAGATTATAATAAAATTGTTCTTTTTTTTTAATTTATGATAGTCACACAGAATGAGAGAGAGAGAGGCAGAGACACAGGCAGAGGGAGAAGCAGGCTCCATGTACTGGGAGCCCGACGTGGGATTCGATCCCGGGTCTCCAGGATCGCGCCCTGGGCCAAAGGCAGGCGCCAAACCGCTGAGCCACCCAGGGATCCCTAAAATTGTTCTTTTTAAAAATTTAAACCTATTTATTCTTTTTTTAGATTTTATTTATTCATAAGACACACACATACACACACACACACACAGAGGCAGAGACATAGGCAGAGGGAGAAGCAGGCTCCATGCAGGGAGCCTGATGTAGGACTCGATCCTGGGACTCCAGGATCATGCCCTGAGCCAATGGTAGATGCTCAACCGCTGAGCCACCCAGGCGTCCCTATACTTTTTTTTTTTTTGAAAAAATTTTTAAGAATTTATTTATTTATTCATAAGACACACACACACACACAGACATAGGCAGAGGAAGAAGCAGGCTCTATGCAGGGAGCCCGATGTGGGACTCGATCCCGGGACTTCAGGATCAAGCCCTGGGCCGAAGGCAGGCGCTTAAACCACTGAGCTATCCAGGGATCCCCGATTGTTGTTGTTCTAGGCCACTAAGTTTTGGGGCCATTTGTTATCCAAGAATAGATATTGGAACAATTTGTTTATGTAGATATTTCATGTCTCTCCCCACTAGAGTACAGGTTTCATGAGTTCAGGAATTTTGCTTTCTTTTTTGTTGTACTCACCTAGTACATGACCTGAGGCACCTAGACCCGCACTTGCATATTGTAAAGTACTCAATAAAAATGTGTTGAATAAGTGAATGGATGCACGATGCATTTTCAGTATGGTATGCTAATGGTTATTGATCAACAGTGCATGGTACAGTCTGCTGGACTAGACCTCATTGGCAGAGAGCATAAGTTGGCACTTTCAGCATGGGAAAATACATTTCAACAAGAATATTTCAGAGGCAAATAACTTTAAATGAATTATAATTATAGTAGGAAAGTATAAAATAGGATTTGAGCTTCTTGTAGAATTTGTCTTCTGGTGATTGATTCCATAATCCCATCTTAGGCTTTTCTAGATCAGGTCTGGAAAGGCTTCAGAAGTATTTTTGGAAGGATTGGTGATTTTCTTTTCAATCCAAATAATAAAGTTCTTGCTAAAAATGACACTTTGAGATCATTCACATGTACTTAGTATGAAATGAGACGAAGTGGAATGAAAATGGACGGCACTGTGTACACACAGGTGCATGAGGGAGCAATTTGTAATGCCTAATTCCATCGCCTATTTTCAGTCTGGTGGTTGAATAAAGTGCACATATATAAAAAAATGAATAAATATGGTTCTGATTCTCCCCAATCTTGCACAAAGTACTTTGATCTACATTGGCTTGGAGTAAATATTTGTGTATTGCTTAGAGAGCAACAACATACTCACATATCCAAGGAAAATTTTACAATATTATCATCTCTGAAAGTAAAAAAGGACTAAATTTCTTAGATACCTGGGAAAGAGGTACTTCTTGTTCGGGGAAAAATTACAGGTGGCTGGTCTTGAATAGACTAATTTCTTTGGGCCAATCCCCCTCAGCCTTGATCGGAGCAAAAAGCACAGATGTAGAATCTGTGGTTTCTTAGAATTGAGGATTTGTGCCGAGTCTATTGACAAATGGCTTCAAAGCAGTTTCCATACATGAATCACTTTGATAAGCAATATATGTGATTTCTTTCCAGAATCCAGTAGGGTTCAGAGTAAAAATAGCTTTTAAAAGTTCTTCACGTAAGACTACTGCCACAAGGCTACTTGGCCAAATGCCTCCTGATGAAGAGCATGTGCCACTCTGCTGCCTTTGTTCCAAGGACAGTTGTTGGTGCCATTGGGTCTCACTACCTGGCCTGTGGCATGAGGTTCTCCTCTTGGTTAGGTACAAGACTTGAGTGGAAAGTGAGGAGGTGCCCAAAATTTCTTTGGAAAGTCCAGGCAAGTGAATTGGGCAGTATTTTCTTTGTAAATTCCATTTTTCTCATCAAGATTTAGATGTTGCTTCTGAAGCTAATTATTCTTATTTCATTTTTCTTAAATGTTTTTTATTTATTTATTTATTTATTTATTTATTTATTTATTTATTTATTTATTTATTTATTTATTTATTTATTTGCAGGTCCAGGCAAACTTGACTGGAAAAGAAGCACGGGCAGGGGTTAGGATGAGCCCATGACGTGTCACACGCTGCAGCCAATTGAGAGGCCACGAGAGGGGGAGGGCGGAAGTGACGAGACGTATCCCTCCGCGGAGCGAGAGGGTCGGTGGGGGGAGTCGGCGTCTCTCTCCCCCGCGCCAGCTCCCGTACACGGAGCCGCATTCCTTGGCCCCCCCACCCCCTCCCTCGGGGCCCCCCCGCCCCCCTCGGGAAAAAAATCCACCCCAAATCACTGGAACCCGAGGGAGGTTTCCTTTCCCCCGCGGGGAGACGCGCTCTCCACGGTTCCCTCTCAGCCGTCTCCCCAAGCCCCCGTCCCCTCCCCTGCTCCCACCCCCTTCTCCCGGCGCCGGGTGCGAGGTCCCTTTAAGGCGACGGCGCCTTCCTCGGGTCAGACTACCGGCGGCGACGACCACGGGAGGTGAGTAAGCGAGCGGGCGAGCCTTCTTTCTCCCCACCCCCTTCTCCCGGGGGTTCCGTTATCTTTTCGCTCGGCGAGGCGCTCGGAGGCGAGACAATGAGAGGGGGATGGGGCGGGGGCGCGAGGGGTGGGGGCAGGGGCCCGGTGGCGCGCGCCCCTGCTCCCCGCGAGTGCAGCGCGGCCCGGGCGGCGGCGGGCATGGGGCGCGGCTCGCGAGCGCGTGCGCCCCCGGAGCCGCGGGAGCTCGGGAGCCGCGCGACGGTCTGGGCCGGGCGGACCCTGCCTGCCTGCCTGCCTGCCGCCCGCCCCCGCCCCCCGGCGTCCTCCGCGGCGCGCGCGCGCGCACTCGCGCCCCACGGCCCCGCACACACCGACGTCCACACGCACGCCGGGCGCGAGGCGTCTCGGAGGAGTGGGCGGGCGGCGGGCGGTGGCCCGCGGGGAAAGGGGCGGGGGCGGGCGGCTGCGAGTCGGCGGGCGGGGGGCGAGGCCGCGCCGAGGTGACGTCCCGGGGGGAGCGCCCGCCTCTCCCGCCGCGCCCTCCCGCCTCCCTAGGACTGGGGCGCTGTTCGGGCGCGAGGAGGAAAATGAGGGGTCGCTGTGCCGCTCCCTTGTGTTACGTAATCTCCGCTCGGTCCAGTAGTACATCCCAAGCCGTAGCGCGCTGCAGTTAGTTTACCAAGTCTCCTCCCTTGGCCCTAAAATTTCTCTGCGTTGGCGCCGTGATTTGTAAAATGGAATGGGGCGGAAAACCTTTCTTTCGGCTGATTATATCCTGCCGCGGTGGGCGCCATGTTCCTCCCAGGGACTATTTTGTCTAGATTCCCAGCACCTCCTGGAGAGGACTGATGTCGTTGGTCCACCTGCATTCCCTCCTTTCTGCCACTGACCCTGTTTCCCTCTCCCGCCAGACGCGGGATTCCTCCACGCTGTTCCTAACTGTGGGCATAGCTCAGCTCACTTGTCTTGGGCCTTCTTAGCCCAGAAAAAGAGATGGGAAGAGGCTTGGAAGTCAGTTGGCCCCATCTCCTCTTTGGGATGCACACTGGAAGACGATTTTACCGTCTCAGAACCACCACCTTGTTGCGGGTTGTAGCTCAGCCTTCTACATTCTAGACACCTCCCACTGCAGTTCGAAACTCTGCAGAAATGGAGTTTTACTTTCAAAGGAGTTTTCCCATCTAGTTGGAGGGGAAATAGCGGGGCAGAGAGGGCTGCTCCTTGGTGAACAACATTGAATTTCCAGACCACGATGTGTTCTTGGGACCGGGAGTTGGACTCTGAATTCGAACTCGTTCTCAAGATCTTTAAGTTCGGGATAGCTAAAAAGTACCTTGGAGGTTGCTGAAAGTGCTGTTTTAGGGGCTTCGTCCTCAAGTCTTTTCAGGTGGGAAGGGGAGGGTGTGTGTGGTGCTATCTTCTCTAAATTTTAACCGCCACATAAAGAACTGTTGATTTAGCGTAAAAGTGCTCAAAATACAATCTTAAAACAATTTCATGGCAAATTACATCCTTGATTTCCTTCCCCTTATACTACGGTTATGACACACCGGTCACGTTGGTATGTATCTCAAACTAAAGGAACTAAGAAGATGAAGACTCTTGGGATGAACGGGATTTTGTTCGTTTCCACCCCATCCTCGAACCAGTGATATAATCTAGGAAAAGGTGACCCACTGACCTCTGGGGATCATTCAGAGCCTTCCAGGGGACCTGAGAGGTCATAACTATTTTCAAAGTAGAAAATACTAAGACACTATTTATCTTTCTTCCAGTGACATTTGCACTGATGGTCCAAAAAAGCAAAGCTGAGTAAAACTGGTGGTCCGTTAGCACAAAGCAAGGCAGTTACACGAAACACCGTGTGAAAATGGCCTTGATGAAACAGTAGAAATGATTTTTATTAAATCTCAACCCTTGGGTACATGGTTTTTTAAGTTTTAAGAATCTTTGATCGAATAGGAAGGATGCATAAAGTACTTTGCTGACTAAGGAGGTACGGTCCTTCTCTTAAGGAAAGGCGCTTGTGAGATTGAGTTATGAGCTGCTTGTTTCATGGAACAGCATTTTCACTTGAAAGAACTGACAAACTACAGTTTTTCACACTTTAAGGTTGGGCTTATATTTTCTTGACAACGAGGTGAGCATGTTATTTTGAGGAAACAATTGACAGTATTTGTTACCAATGATAAAAATTTGAGAGTGAAAATTAGAATTTGTCAAAAGTTGACATCTCAGGTTTGACAGTTTAAATATTTTCTATATTTATATTTGTAGTGAAATATGTCAACATTTGGAGGATGGGCATCGCAGTAAATCTATATTTTCCAAGCGACCAATGCTGATATTTCACAATCATCATAAGTAAATATCCTTTCAGAATGCAAGGTACACTAGTGGATTTTAATGTAATAAAATATGAAAAGTTCATTGATAGGGATTCAGATTCCAAGATGCAACTATTCTTTAAGAAAGTACCATTTGGGCACACCTGGGTGGCTCAGTGGTTGAGCATCTGCCTTTGGCTCAGGGCATGATCCCAGTTTAAGAATCGAGTCCCACATCGAGATCCCTGTGAGGAGCCTGCTTCTCCCTCTATGTCTCTACCTCTCTCTGTGTCTCCAATGAATAAATAAAAAAAACTTAAAAAAAAAAAAAGAAACTACCATTTGTCGAGTTTTAGTATTGTGTCAATATACACAGCTGTCTGAAAAGGTTTTTGAATACTTTTCCTTTTTCCTGCTGCGAGGCCAGATAGTCTACAGCAACAGACTGAATGCATAAGCACTATGAGAATCCAGCTGCCTTCTATTAAGCTAGACCTTAAATTTAGGCAAAAATGTAAAAAAAAAAAAAAAAAAAGTTACTCCTTTTGGGAAAAATAGTAATTTTTAATTGAAAGTGTTATTTATGTCAGCTTGATGGCTCATTGTTAATTGTATTGATAAATACTTTTTTTAAAAAATTTATTTATGATAGTCACACAGAGAGAGAGAGAGAGGCAGAAACACAGGCAGAGGGAGAAGCAGGCTCCATGCACCGGGAGCCCGACGTGGGATTCGATCCCGGGTCTCCAGGATCGCGCCCTGGGCCAAAGGCAGGCGCCAAACTGCTGCGCCACCCAGGGATCTCTTGATAAATACTTTTGTTTTAATGTCTGATATGGTAAATATCAAAGGATGTAATCCATGTAAATAAAAACTCTCTGAGTTCCTCAGTAATTTTAAGAATGTAAAGGGGTCTCAAGACCAAAAAATTTGGGAATGACTTGGTGTGTCCTATGCGTCTACTTTTGAGATCATCATAATCTGCCTCCATTTAGGAACTTCTGAAGAATTTACAAAATGTTAGTTGAAGTTAATAATGGAAGAGGCAGTGGCTTGGGGAAGAATTCTAGAGAAAAAGGTTGATTTGAATCTTGGCTCTGGATTACAGTTCTTTACTAACTATAACCTTGGTCAAGTTATTGAATCTCTCTAAACATCCTTTTAAATCTCATTTGTAAAATGTAGTACTTATTACATACAACTGTGAGAATTCATTGAGATGATGAGTGTAAATTATATAATAATGTCTGGCAGTATCACGGTAAAATAAAATACATTCCAGGTAATGTTTCAGTCTTTATTGTACGTATATGTCTTTTTGTTGAGGGTGAGGATTGCTGATTTAAATTACAAACCCTAGAGCTGATTCGTGCCTTTGTCATATCAGTATAATAAGATTTTGATTCTTAGGCATTCTGGTTTGTAATATTAAACCCATATCCATAGAAACCCATTTTTACATGTAAGTCAGGAGGAGAGAAGGGCTAACGTATTACTGATATTTAGCAAAAAATGAAATCGATGGAATAGATTTAGAATTTAGGTAACATAACAACTGTTAGTGAAGAAAAGCTTTTCTTTGGAAAGAGAATCCTGAATATTTAACTCTTTAAAAATGGGGAACTTACTTTTTATTTTAATGGTTTTTAGTGAAGACCACATAACTTGTATCCAGGTGCTTCTTGATAGATTTGCTCTCTGGTAACTTGAAAATATTTTGCATTTGGGAGTATTAGATTATTAACACTATTTAAGAACAGGTTGTGAATATTATATGTAGATTTTACAACTGTTATATTCTGTAAGGGACAAAATAGGTCACGAAAAGACCGGGAAAATAAAAGCTTCTTAAAGGTGTTTTTTTTAAAGTCAAAATAGAATTAACTTGAAATCAAATGCCAGTAGTTTTGAGGATTGTTTATTTTTCATGTTGGAATAAGAGTGTATTCTTAAATGCTTTCTTTGTTTTCTAAAATACTTTTCATGTTCCAAAAAGTTTTTTTTTAATCTTGATTTATGGGCGGGTTGTGTACTAGCAGTGGATTAAAAATGTTAAATTCTGAATTCTTCATTCCTGGTATTTACTTTGTCTATGAAAGAACCAAATTAAAGGAATTCAAAGCTTCAAGAGCTAAATCTGGAGAGTTTTGGTAGAAAACATGTTTTCTATTACTATTTGAGATGAGGATAGGTAAACATTTGCTGCCATTAAGTACCTCAAATGTAGACTGACAGGTGTATCTGCTGGATTCTTTCTGTTGCTTTTAAATAACAGGTTGTTTGTAAAGATTCTCTTTATATATTGCTTTTCAATATGTAGACTTTTACTGACTAGCTAGGACCTAAGTATAGACCACCATATTTGCCAGCACTTAAGATACAATTCATTTCTCTAGGAAGGTGTATCTGGCATACCAGAATTATGGATGGAAAGAGGAATGCCAAAGACTTAAAATGCTATGGGAATTCTGATAGACCTGTGTGAGTCGCAGTGTTGAGCAAAGCCTACCAAGTACACAAAAATTGCGTTGTCAGTATAATTACTGCTATAAAATACAGAAACCAGATAGGTTACCAAGATGTCAAATAATGGATTGGATTAATGGAAGATGGCAAAGTTCATCTCCTCTTAGAGTACCTCCTTGAAATCCTATATAATCCATCTTATTAGAC